CAGAAGTTTAGTTTATCAAAAAGAGCAAGACCCTTAATGGGATAGATTGATGCAATGGCTGCAACAATGGCTCAAACACAGCCATGACTGTGAGGGTGGTGCGAGCACAGGGAGCGTTTCCTTCTGCTCTACATGTGATCACTCTGAGTCAGAACTGACTCAACAGCATCTAACAACAAGGTATCCAGAGTAACACTGAACTGAAGTGGTGACAGCAACTATATGGGGTGGAGGGAGTGGGAGGTGGGGTAGTTGTAAAAAAGTTCTTGGAAAAATGGAATTTAAAAAATAATGGAATTTTCCCATTATTTACAAATTTTGTTTTCCAAAGAACTTGAGTTTTCCCAGAACTTTTTGAAGCCCCCTCATATTTATCTTGCTCCCCAGGTTAAAGGAATAACATTTTCTTCATCTTAATGATGTTAGTCATAGTTTTAAAATACATGACTTATATCAGATGTGGAAATTCCTTTCTATCTTAGTTTCCTTAGTTTTTATCATGAATGGATACTGAACTTTGCCAAATGCTGGAAAAATCATATGGTAGCTTTCCTTTTTTTTAACCTAAATAATGTTCTGCATTAAGGTGATTGATTAGGGTGCAGTATAGCACCGATGAAACACACAACTTTCATCTAGTTCTTTAATGATTCTCCCAACCCCACCATCATGTTACCAATTCAACCTTACAAATTCAGCTAGTTTATACTGATACAGATAAGAGCTCTCAACACAGGAAATCCAGGGCAGATAAACCCTTCAGGACCAATAATGAGAGTAGCGATACCAGGAAGGTAAAAGGCTGATACCAAGTAGAGAGAAAATGGTTTGAAAATGATGATGGCAACACATGCACAAATGTGCTTGACATAATGGATGTATGTATGGATTGTGATAAGAGCTGTAAGAGCCCCCAATAAAATGATTTTAAAAAAATAAAGTGATTGATTAAATCTTAAACCAATTTTGTATTCCCAGTATAACTATTTTAAAAATGATTTTTGTGTTAAATTTGCTAACATTTAATCAAAGTTTTTCAAATTCATTTGACTGCGATTAATTTCAGGAAAATACTGGTTTAGTAATATTAGTCAGAGATATTTCACTCATCTGTTTTCTGAAGGGGTAAGATTGATATATCTGCATTAAATGTCTGATAAAATTTACCAGTGAAAACATTTAAGCCTCAAGTTTTCATTGAAGAATGGTTTTAAATTATGCATTAAATTCCTTTACTTCATATACAACTAATCATTCTTTTAAATTTCTTTGGGTTTTTAAAATTGATTTTTGAGGAAACTGTCCATTTCACATACGTCTTGCGGTTTCTTTGGATGTAAAGTTGTTTTCAATATTATCTTCTTTTTAATTATTTATAGGATTTATAGTGTTTCCCATAAAAATAAAAATACCAGTACTAATTCCACAGCCTCTGGAGATTTGGTGGTGCTGTTGGGTAAACACTGGATTGCTAACTCCAAGGTCAGCAGTTCAAAAACCACTAGTTGCTTCATGGGATAAAAATGAGGCTATATGTCCCATAAAGATTACAGCCTTGGAAATTTGTATAGTGTTGCTGAGTCAGAATCAACTCAGTAGTACTGGTTTATCTTCATTTTCTTTGTAATTCAAGTTCTTAGAATAAAAAATTAGAAATAGTTACTTAAAAAAATACTACTTGTGAGCATATAAAATGACATGGACTACATTCAGATATAAATGTAACAAAATGTGTGCAAGATAGTGATAAACTATTGCAGAAAGAAATTAAGAAGAGAAAATTTTTTCCATAGAAAAAAGATAATATTTCTTACATATAATATGCAACTCCAACAGGATTTCAACAAAAAATTCACATACTTGATAAAATTATTCTAAAATATACATATGTAAGCAAAGACCTATAATAGACATAACTTAAGTTTGAAAAAGAATACAAAAAGAGGAGCTTTAATACCAAGGACTCAAATAGAAAGTGTTTAGAAAATAATGATAGTAACATGTACAAATAGGCTTGATACAATTGATGTATGGAATGTTATAAGAGCTGTAAGAGCCCCCAATAAAATGATCTTCAAAAAAAAGAAAGAAAAAAAATACAGCAGGAATTGAATACTAAATGATTCAGATTTATAAAGCTACAGTCACCAAGCTGCTGGGGGGATTATGTAAGTTTAGATTTACAGATCATCTGAAGTGAATAGGGAGTTCAGAAATAGACCTATACAATTATGGCTAATTGATTTTTGATGATGATCCAATAAGGAAAACTTGGTTATTCAACAAAGGGTGCTGGGAAAATTCAGTATTCACATGCAAAAAAACAGGGGGGAAAAAAGAATACAACTGAATTGCCACCATTAATTTGTTCCATACCAAAAAATTAACTGAAAAAATCTCACAAAAACAAACCAAACCCAAAGCTGTTGCCATCAAGTCAATTCTGATTCACAATGAAGCCAAAATAGTTGGTGTTATTTTGCTAGTTGTGATAGTCAGCTCTGATGCCTAGTGACCTTGTTGTAAAACAGAATACACATTGCCATGTTCTTTGCCATAAAAAATAGCCCAATCTTACTGATAACCTAAAGCTTTAGTAAATGTTGAAGAAAATATTTACAAAAGACATACATACTTGCTTCCAAGATATATAAAGAGCTTTAGCAAAAAAAGATAAAAAATGGGTTAACATGGACACCTCACAAAAGAAAATAGAAATGAAGCACATTACTAGTCATTAGGGCAATGCAAGTTAGAAACTACAGAGGGATATGTGTACATACATACTAGAATGTTTATAAATAAGAAAGATGGACACACTCTTTTTAATACATTTAAAGCACTGAATTTTATGGTATGTGAATTATATGCCAACAAAAGTGTTTAAAAAAAAAACAAAGACTGAAATGCCAACTGTTAGCAAAGATATAGAGCACGCGGTCTTCTCACATTACCAGTAGGATTAAAAAATGGAGAGTCACTTTGAATAAGGACTTGGCAGTTTTCATATAAAGTTTAGCTTATAAAAGAATCAGTAGTCCCATTCCTAGGTATTTGTCTGCAGGAAGTGAATAAATATGCCTAAATAAAACAATGCATGAAGGAGCTTCAAAAAGCTCATTGAAAAATGGAATGAAAAGTAATGGAAGTTTTCTATGAACTTTTGAGCCCTCTTGTATATAACTGAGTAGAGTAGTTTTACACATAATAATCTAAACTTAGAATAATCAAATATTCATTAGTTGGTGAAGGGGAAAAAAAACTCCACGTTCATATTCTAAAATAATCTTCAGCAACAACATGGATCAATACCAAAAGCTTTATTATGTTAAGGAAAGAAGGCAGACATAATTTTCATATTATATGATTTCATTTTTGTCACATTTTGTAAAATGCAAAACTATCATGATAGAAAGTGTATTTGTGAATGCCAACGGCTAGGGGTGACCAGAGAAAAATCACTACAAAGGAGCTTCAGATAACCTTTTGGGACAGCAGAAATGTTCTATGTCTTGAATGCAGTGATAGTTATAGGACTAGATGCATTTATCAACTCCCATCACACTAAGAGGGTACACTTATCAGTATATAAACTTCAATAAACCTCACAATTGCTTTATGATGCATCTGCTTAAAAGGCATACTGAGATTTAAAAACTCATAATAACCTCTAGTAAGTACTTAAGCTAACAAATACGAAATGAGCATATCTATTTCCATAACTCTCACTGTAATAGAGTAGATGCCAACTCATAGCCACCCTGCATAGGAAACTAGAAATACAACACTGACACAAAACGCTTGACTTAAATAAAAATGATTATCAGTAGCAAATGTGTAGTAAATCAGCTGATAACAAGGACTGACACGTGTATGTCCTTCAAACGGGACAATGTAAAGCACATGGTCCTCCTTCAATTGAACCATGCTCATACAGTGGAAAGGATCAATATATGGGCAGGTATCGTATATTTGTTGAAGACCAGGGTATATCAAAAGTATTTCTACTAGGGTTCCAGTTCATATATGCAGGAGTTTCTTCCACACAAGAACCATTTAAACATATCTTACAGATCAGCGGATAGCTACAGACAAGTTATCTCTAAGATACCGGCATTAGTCTCCTTAGGGTGCTTTCAAAACAAAGAAACATTTTGTGCCTTGGAAAAAAAGTCAGGGCTAATATCTAATTTTTAACAAAATCAAATGGAAATCTTCCTACATTACTAGGAATGCTGTCCAACATAAAATAAAGGGGTTTTTGCTGGAACAAGTGTTCTAAGTAAGGCTGAGAAGACCCCTAGAATGAATTCAAGGCAGAGAGGTCGTTTCGAAGCGTCTGACAATTGTTTTTTTGGACTTACAAAGGGGTAATTCTGATGGTTACCTTGAAGAACACAAAATGAACTAAGGGATGTATTAGGAAGACAGTTGGAGAAAATTGAAAACAGCATCAGTGGGAAAAAGGCCAGGAAAGTGACTTCAAGGACGTTTCCCCTCTATCAGACAAGGTAGCTGCTCACTTTTCAAGGGTAGGAAGGGCTGTCCTATGAGAATTTCATTGGGAAACCTTATCCTATCCATTTGAAAGTCCTGTTGACTCTTCAAGACGTGTTTTTGTTTCCCAAACACAAATAATATTGAAAAGGAACATGATTTCAGTCCGTGGAGGGTACCTAAACTATTATTTGAAGGTGGTGTACACTAAAGAGTACTGAATTTTTCAGGGAAGGTTTAGAGGGGTGGAACACCACCGTCAGCTGTATATGGACCTAGAAGGAAGATATGTGGGGAAACAAGGGCTTCACACTTTGATATTTTTGCTTAATAAACATTTATATAATTGCATATCAATATTTTTTTACTTATCCTATGTCTACCTTTTTCATAATGAAGAGTTGAAAGGATACACTGCTTTACACAAATAACGCACCTCAGTAAAAAATTGAAATGCATCAGTTTGTATCAAGAAAAACAGACAATGGACCAGTCATGAGTACCTTGGCAATAGCAGTTTGTTTAAACATGCGTGTAATCAACCCCATGACTTGTGAAAAGTGGTTTCCAGTCTCAGCAGCACCTGAATTTAGAGTTTTCATTAATTTCTCCCACTCTTCAAAACTGGAATTCAATTCCTATGTGGGACAAAAATCACACAGTTTAGAAATTCGGTAGGAAGAACAGAACAATTCATGCAAGAGTGAATTATTCACACCCCACCCCACCCCGCACCTGTCCTTAGAAATATATAAGAGGAAAGAAGATCCACAAAAAGGCCAACACGCTTAATTAAAATCATCAATGGAGGTAGGCCAGTCACATAATCACGTTAATTACAGAAACCAGTGACAAGCTGTGAGGGAAAACAAAGTCCCCCTTTAAACATAAATTAAACAAGTTGAGCATCCTTGTAAAGAAAAGCACTTTGAAGAGTAAATTAAAAAATTTAAACACATAAGAGGGCAGAGTGGTGAAAATGTATGAGAGCAACGCACTTTTATAAAATAATATCTTTAAATATACAAAGACTTGGAGAATATTAATTAAATAATTATAATCACATATTAACTCATTTTATTTTTCTTTCTAATGATGAAGCAGTAAAGAAAATCAGATCATTCTTATTTTAGACATAGCACATTGCTCAATGTTTACAAAATACTCACTTTAAGCTCAAAGGATACAACAATGAAACATTCTTTGTTTACAAGTTATGTTGAGATTTGAAGAAATAGGTCTTTAAGATATCTAGAAGAGTATGTATGAATTGTGATAAGCTCCTAATAAAACAATTAAAAAAAGATATCTAGAGGGCTATATCCAAATTAATCAAAGTAAAATGAGGCAAAAACTATTTACACTTAAAAATTCTAGAGCAAGAAAACAAAAATGCCCTTGCTGTTTTTTGGCTTTCACAATTTATAAAAACTTCAATTTTTTAATACTAAATCCAAATCTCTTTTTTTGCAATTTTAATATTTTTCCTATATTCAGCAGGAACATTTTTTATCTGATGACTAAAATTAAAGTCTACTTGCTCCCTTCTGGAAATGATAGAAAGCCAAATCACATGCTCTGCTAAGCCTATTTTAAGAAAACAGACTTTTCCTCCTGTGAAATTATGAAATATGAATAATCTTTAATAGTATAATTTTAAGTGATTTAAAATATGACTTCCAATCAAGCTAGGGTTCTCACCTTGGCAGCTGCTGCTGGAAGATCAAATGGAATACGCTGTCTGATTTTAGGGGGCAGTTGGGTTAACACTTCATTCTTTAATCTTCTAATCATTATATCACTTAATAGCTGATGAAGTTCATTAAGGTTTGATGCCCCTCTACAATCCCACTGAGGTCTTCTACCAAAAAACCTGTACATGTGAAGAAAAATATGTAGCTGAGCAGAATTTTGGAGTAAGAAAACAATTTATCTGGTATGTATAAGTAATTCAAAGAACACTGATGATGTGGTGCGTTCATCTTAGATAGGCCTGATAACAAAAAAGGTCAATGGTTTGAACCTAAGAGTAACTCCTTGGGAGAAAGATTAGACTTTCCTATAAAGATTTCCAGTCTCTGAAATGCTAGGGAGCAATTCTAGAGTACCCTACAGTTGCTGTGAGTAGGAACCAACGTAACAGTCTTATATTTTATAGATAGTCCCTTACTTATAACATGTTCAAGTTATGAGAAGCCACACATAACAACCACCTGTTTTTTTGTGCCTTGTACTGTGAGCAAGATGTACTACATACAGTGCTGCAATGTGTAATTCCTGGTGTCATCATCTCAGGGGCTTACAATTTAAACAATAACCCAATATACAGAGAAACAACACAATCAAAAATTGGTCAAAGGATATGAAATGCTATTTCACCAAAGAAGATATACAAGTGACCATTAAGCACACAAAAAATATGCTCAAGGAAATACCACTTCAGGTCTACAAGAATGGCTATTGTTATAAAAATCAAAATCAACAAGGACTGATAAGAATGTAGAGAAATTGGAATCCTCACCTATTGCTGGTGGGAGCATGCAGGCTTTTTGGAAAACAGGCAATTCATCAAAAACATAAACACAGAATTACCATATGATACAACAATTTCATTCCTATGTATATATCCCAAAGAGTTGAAAGCATGAATTCAAACTGATACTTGTGCACCAACATTTACAGCAGCATTATTCAAAATAACCAGAATGGGAGTGTATATGTCAATGAACAGATGAATGGATAAACAAAAGATGGTATATACAGCACTTGCTGCAAAAGACAAATCATGGGGAAAGAAAATTATCAAGCAGGCTACAGATCTAAACAGCACAATTAGACGACTTGACCTGATATATATTTTCAGAGCTTTCAACCCAAATAAAAAAAAAAATTCACATTCTTTTCAAGCCCACATAGTACATACTTGAAGACAGACCACATGCTGGGACACAAGTCACACCTGGGTAAATTCAAGCACATAGAGATTATACAGACTTCTCTCTCCAACCATGCCATAAGGTTGGAAGTCAACAAAAGTACAATAAAGAAAACAAAGGCATATCATTGGAGAATGAATAACTCTCTATTGTAAAAAGAGTGGATATTGTCCCAGATCAGAGATGAAATCAGGAAGTTTATACAAACTAATGAGAATGAATATACAACATACCAAAACCTCTGGGATACAGCAAAGGCATATATCAGAGGAAGTTTGATAGCAATACATGCATACATGAAAATGGAAGAGAGACTTATGGGTGATATGCTGGCACACAACTTACACAATTAGAGCAGAGTCAACAAAACAATCCTAATAATAGCAAAAGGAAAGAAATAATAAAAATCAGGGCTGACTTTGCCAGCAGATCACGAAAAATATGGTGGTGAGCCACAAAACCCTCATAAACTGCATATTGTTACCAGGATAAAAAGTACAAAAAGATGGCCATATTGGAAAAAGATATAATAAAGATGCTTGGATTAGAAAAAGCACATACTCCTCAAGTTCATAAGAATATCCCTTCAGTGAATGCAAAACTGAAAGTGGTGAAACATTTGATAAGGATCCAGGCACTGAAGTTGCCACAAGGACTTCAGACAGAGGAGGACATGTCTGACACGTGCCTCAAGAGCACTGGGTAATTAGTGGTGCGGTGGAATCTAAAGCCTGTGGAGCAGGAAGGAATTAAGTCCTACTGCCAGAACAGCCTCAGATTTTAGAAATGTAAATCATTTTTATTTAAAGATGATGAAAAGTTGCTTTCATTAAAATATATTTTAAATAACAAAAAAAAAATCAGGGCTGAGATACAGGAGAGGGAAAACAAGAAAACCATGGGAAAAATTAATGCAGCTAAAAGTTGGTTCTTTGAAAGGATCAACAGAATTGACAGACAGCTGGCAAACCTAACCAAAGAAAGGAAGGAACAATAGCAAGGATGAGGGATGAAGCAGGGGACATTACAACGGACTCTAATGAAATCAAAAGGATAATTACACTGTACTATGAAGGATTGTAATCTACAGAATTCAACAAATTGGAAGATATGGACAAATATATGGAAAAACAGTCCCTCCCTAGAATATCCTAGATGGACATCAAGAATCTCAACAGACCCATAGCAAAAGAAGAGATAGACAAGGTTATCAAGGAATTACCAACAAAAAAAAAATCCTTCAGGCCAGATGGCTTCAAAGGAGAATACTACCAAGCATTCAGGGAAAAACTGACACCAATCCTACACAAACTCTTCCAAAACATAGATAAAGACAGAAAATTCCCAAACTCTTTCTATGAAGCTAGTATAACTCTGATACCTAAAGCAGGCAAAGATCCCACAAGAATTGAGAACTACAGATCAATATTCCTAATGAACATTGATGCAAAAATCCTCAACAAAATACTGGCCAATAGAATGCAAAATCATATTAAAAAAAATAATTCACGGTGACCAAGTGGGATTCATACCAGGGATACAAGGATGGTTCAACATATGAAAGACCATTACTATTAATCACCATATTGACATGAAAAAAATTACAAGAACCACATGATAATATCGATAGATGCGGAAAAAGCATTCAACAACATCCAACACCCATTCCTGTTTAAGACACTTAAGAAGATAGGAATGGAAGAAAAATTCCTCAATATTATACAAGCTATATATGGAAAACCAAAAGTCAAGATGCTAATCAATGGAGAAAAGACAAAAACAATTCCACTGAAAAAGGAGACCAATTCAAAAAATCAGAATGTAACAAGTGTTGGAGGGGATGGGTGACGTAGGAACTCTCGTCCCCTACTGGTGGACCTTTGGTATGTACAGCCATTATGGAAATCGATTTGGCAATATCTAAAAAAGATGGAGACTGAGCTACCATATGACCCAGCAATCCCCCTACTGGGCATATACCCAGAAGAGGCAAGAAACAAACCATGGCCAGACATCTGTACTCCAATGTTCATCATGGCACAGTTCACAATTGCAAGGAGCTGGGAACAACCCAAATTCCCATCAACTGACGAGTGGATCAAAAAACTGTGGTATATTCATACAATGGAGTACTACACATACCTAAAAAACCAGCGATGAACGCATGCAACACATTGCCTCATGGGAAGAACTGGAGGAAATCATGCTAAGTTAAATAAGCCAAGCAAAAAAGGACAAGTACAACATGGGTCCGCTGAGGTATGCTTAAGAAATGGGACATAGGGGGAAAGCTACTATATAAATACATTCCTGGGTGAGGTCCAGGTACTATGGCAGCGGCCAAACCCAAGTAGGGATGCATATGGCAGCCAACTAAATAGGAGGGGGAAAGGAGAGAAGAAAAAAAGACAGGGGTAGGTAGGGAGTAGAGCACTAACCCACCCAAGGGCAATATATTGCTTATATCTTCACAGGAGAGGGAGAGAGAGATCAGGCTTCAAGCCGATGTGCTAAGACATAAATACAACATACTGTCAAGTACCAGGGAATCAATAAAAGTCTGCAGGACCGGTCCAAATCCCAACTATGTGGACACTCCCCCACTCCTCTTAAAGAATACACTTCAGAGGACAGCACTGAAGCTACAGCTTGGAAAGGAGGGCACATCTGATTAGAGGACACAGGAGAAATTATGAGGGATGGAGAGGGAGGGAACCACATCCTAACCCACCAAGCCCTGAGGAAGAAATTCCTGCTCAGAGCAGACAATGCATAGAGAGGACCATACAGCCGGCTCCACTACAAGACACAACGTCCATTCCTCACTGAACATAGTGCTATGGGGGACAACACTGTAGACACAGTATAGGAACTGTACCCAATCTGACCCCACCACACTGGGGTGAAACACTAAGGGCATGCAGCAGAGCAGGAAAGGGAGCAAAGTGATGAAATCTCCAGAGAATACCAGACAGAGTGTGGCACCCCATCAGACTCACTGGAAAACACTTGTAAAGGCCAACAAACAGACCTTGAACTATCTATAGGTTTTTCCATTTTTGTCAGTGGCTTCCTTTTTGTTGTAGTTTATTTTGATTTTGTTGTTGTTGTTACTGTTTTGTTGGTTTTAACTTCCTTGGGATTTCTTTCTTTTGGCTTTTTCTGGTTTTTGTGCTTATTAATGTCTTTCCATGTCTATCTAGATAAGATAGGCCGGATAAACAACTCAGAGATGAAAACAATGGGACCAGTGGTTCTGGGGAGATATGGGAGAAGGGGATGTGGGAGAAAGGAAGTCAGGGGGGGAGGGGGAACCAACCAGGGACAAGGGAACAAGTGAACTAAAATCAATGGAGAGAAGGGTGCAGTATGCCTAGTGGGGCTTAATCAAGTGCAATGTAGCAGCAAGGAATTACTAAACCCAAATACAGGCCAACATGATGGTGGGATAAGAAAGTAAAAGGAAATAGAGCAAAGAACATTTATAGAGGTCTAAATACAGGCATGTACATACGTAAATATATATGAGAGGGGAATAGAACTATGTACTCATATCATATATGTTAAGAATTAAGGTTGCACCCACATGGAAGAAGTACACCAGCCTGTGTGATCACAAAGTGGCGAAGGGATCAGGTATCAGGCATCAAACAACAAAAAAATCCTATCATTGTGAATGAAGGGGAGTGCGGAGTGGAGACCCAAAGCCCATCTATAGGCAACTGGGCATCCACTTTTGGAAGGGTCTCGAGGAAGAGACAAGACAGTCAGGGTGCAATGAAGCAACGATGAAACATACAATTTTCCTCCAGTTCCTAAATGCTTTCTGCACTCCCCACTCCACCCCTCACTATCATGATCCCAATTCTACCTTACAAATCTGGCTAGACCAGAGGATGTACACTGGTAGAGATAGGAACTGGAAACACAGGAAATC